AAGACAATCCCATACACATGCAAACACCAACGGCATGCTTACTAGACCAAGCATCAGACACAACATGCACTTGTCTGAATGCTGCAAAAGCACATCGTGATTGTTAGCGTAGCGCAACTGCTTCATGCCAGCTGAGGTTTTCCTCAAGACACTAGCCCTGTCTTCTCCAGAAAGCCTCAATGACCTAAAGAAACAATTATACCGCTCGCTGGAGGAGGACCGACGGAGCATAATGAAATGTGATGAAACGTGTCCAGACAGCTTCTAATGATGTCACTGGTGAGAATGACACATAACGATTGGAATAATGCGAGAGGACTTTTACCACCACTGGCGCTGTAACTAAAAACGCCCTCTCTGACTCTCGACAAGAAACCTATTTGTTTACTAAATAGATTCATCGGCACAGTGGGAAGCTAATGACAGGTTGAGAAGGTCCAATCAGTAACTGCTATTCCTCTCATGTGATAATCACTAGATGGCAGAGTTCGTCAGATTGATGCCTTTAAAAGCCCTGACATTAAACATTCTTGTCCCCAGAGCTTAGAAAGAGAAGCAATGTGAAGACTGTACCAACAGATAAATATCAACCAGCCAATACATCTCAAGCATAACACACATTTTGGCTTTTAGATCAGAACTGCTCTCAGCTATTTGGTAAGCAAAATGCATAGTTATATAACTAAAGATACATCATGTTACAAAATATCCCAGTCTTGTTTGACAAAAAAATGTTTATACGGAAAATACACATGACCTGCCTAGTAATTGTGTAGTTAAAATGCAAAACACACACTCTTAAAAATAAAAGTTCCTTCGATAAAGAATCTTTAATATCCCCATTGTTCTGTATAGTGGAAAAAGGTTCTTTAGATTATTAAAATGTTCTTCACACAAAGAAAAACCTAAAAGGTGTTTGGTTCTGAAAACCCCTTTTTGGAACTTTTATTTTTAACATATGCAAAGCTTTTAAGAAAATGGAGGCAATTTTATTCACATTATGAGGAAACTACATCACATTAACGCACAAATATAAATGTTATTGCCCGAGGAGTCACGCATCTTAGGTAATTTCAACAGATTTTAACTTCTACCTGATCAACATCATCATAAGGTTCAGTTTCTATTAAAATGCATCAACATTTTGCTGTTTTTCTCTCCGCAATCATTTCAGATGCCTCCTTTGTCTTGTTTCTATCTCTCCATATGGCAAATTTCTGTACTCTTCCATCTGTAGCCTGTTCTACCCATAACCACCCACACTTCTTCCTCCTCTCTCTCTCTTTCCCTCTTTGCCTCCACCGCCCTCCACCACTGAGGGAGAAAAGCAAGCGCTCAGTGAAAGCATTTGAAGCGAGCACATTTCAATGTGCACAGAAACACCCAGGCAGGAATAGCACTATGTCCTGAGAGCACATCTCTCTCTCTCTCTTTCGCTACTGGATAGGTCTGATGATTCATATACACATAGAGAGGGTGATACGGGACAGAGAGGACATGTAAAATAGGCTTCGTGTGAGAGGACCCTCAGTGCTGCTCAAAAGACCCTCGTTGATGGACTCACTCCAGGAGGCACATTGGGGGATGTGTTTACATTGCGCAGATCCTGTTGATTAAAAGGCCAGGTTTGAGAGGATCTAAGCACCCTCCATGATCGATTCTTCCTCCCACTTCTGAATGCTTCACAAAAGGGGCGTTTAAGGCTTATTATATGCCTGATATCTAAGAGCTTTGATGCTGTTAAGTGCTTGTTCAAGACACATGTCACCCTGAAAGAGCATAAAATAAAACATGACTAAGACGTGGTGATTTCAAAGCAATATAAATACTATAACCAGTAGTTAAAGGAGCACATGGATGATTTATTCTGCAAGTACAGTCAACAGATTTTCACCTGAGACTGTGTAAACAGAAGCATATTCAAAAGATGACCTTTAACTGCCACTTTGCACAACCCCTTGGTGGCTTCTAATGGAAATATTGCTCCCATATATTTCCATGGTAATCCTGCTGTTCTCTATCCATATGTTTACAAGGACATCGCTCAATCCTGAGGGTTTATATGGTTTCATTAATTATGGATTTCCATCTTCAAGTTAAATCCAACTGTGAGTCACAGCATATTTGACCACGTTGGATTGTTTAGGTTGATTGTCTGATTAAAATGTGCGAACGAGATCTTGTATAATCAACATGGCTGTAATTAAACCTCTCTTTTCTGCATCCATATGACAGTAAAGAAAACAGCATTCATTTGGACACATTTTAGGAGCAACTCTGCCCTCTGCTGCATGTGTGACTGGAGACCACCTCATCACAAATGATACTCCGTTCAGGTTTCAACTAATTAGCCTTGCGTTATCTTGAGCAAAACACACATGAATAAATAAAGGAAATAATATGTAATACTTCAAAGTCAAATAAAACGGGACTAATTCATCTAATGCAATAAGATTAGTGTGCATTTAGTTTTCCAAACTCCCGAAAGCCATTGTAACATGTATTCCTTAAACCTTACTAGTATCTATTTTATGTCACTTGTACTTACATGAATTATTAGTAAGTAATCCATTACTGACTAGAATATTTTTTTTTTTCCAATTTCACTAGTTTTGATTAGATGCAGATCACTATCTGTTCCACTGATTCTGGTTACTATTCCAGTTTTACTAGCTTACTAATTGGGTATTACCCAGTTAACAAAAAATATGTTTTGCTAATGTTTCTATTAAGCTATAAAAATGTTTAATGGTCTTCTTAAACATTTTTTTTTACATGTTTTATAAAAAAAAATTTCTTGGTTATACGAATGTTAAGGAACTTTCTATTTGATCATTTTGCAAACATTATGGAAATGTTACTTTTGAAAGTAGTAACATTTAAAAAACGTCAGACAAACGTCCAACTAAACTGCTTCAGGAAAAAAAAGTTCCCATGAAAGATGTATTAAACATTTTTCTGTGCTAACATTTTGAAAACATTATTAAATACCAAAACAAATATTAATATTCCTGGTTCATAACATTGAGAGAACCTTACTAAGTTAGCCAAGTTAGCTTTGTTAGTTGGGTCACTTATTAGTATCTGCAGCTTTACTATTATTATTATATATGAGATGGTATTACAAAACTTGAATCCAAATTGTTACTAACATATCTTAATAGTTGCTTTTTTACTTGTTAAAGTCAGACTATACTTGTTACTTTATAGCTCAATAGATCAGTTAAACATGAAAAATGTTACAAAAAATGTAATACACACTTGTGTCTAGTTTCTTTTGAATTGTCGCAAGTAATTAAAGAATAAAATAGTAGATCATGACTAGTTATGTAATTACAACTGGAGTACATATATAGTATACATTTTTTAAGTACTAGTAATTAACCGAATACACACTCCTCTCTGTTGGAATGAGTACTAGTTTTGGTCACACTTTATTTTAAGCAAGTAATTAAAGAATAAAATAGTAGATCATGACTAGTTATGTAATTACAACTGGAGTACATATATATAGTATACATTTTTTAAGTACTAGTAATTAACCGAATACACACTCCTCTCTGTTGGAATGAGTACTAGTTTTGGTCACACTTTAAGGTCCAATTCTTGCCACTAACTATGATTTTGCCTCAATAAACTCCTAATTTGCTGCTTATTAATAGTTAGTAAGGTAGTTGTTAAGTTTAGATATTGGGTAGGATTAGGGATGTAGAATACGGTGATGCAGAATATGTGCTTTATAAGTTCTAATAAACAGCCAATATGTTAATAATAGGCATGCTAATAAGCAAATAGTTAATAGTGAGAATTGGTTACCCTAGTTTCTAATAAAATAAATAATAGTCATTACTGACTATTAAAAAAATAGGTTGCCTGTAGTAATACATATCGGTTCTTTAGTAGGCTACTAGTTAGTTAGATGTTATAGTAAATGTTATGTGACTCCCTATTGTAAAATGTAACTTTGTGTTTTAACGAGTCTACGTTTACACCGGCCTCTATCGTTTTCAGTTTGTGTCAAAGGGGGCGCAACGTGAACGAATCCCTCTGCAAGCGCCGCTAACACTGAACTCTAGCCGCAGGGGTTGAGCTCAGCCCTGATTGTGTGAGTTCTCAGGAGTCAGAACCCTGTCCTCCACAGACTAGAACCGCTAATTACCTAAACAACAGGTCCGAGAAGAACCATCCTCTTTACTGCATGTCGGCCCATAAATTCTGCCCAGCTCTTCTTTGCTCTTGTGACTTCAAAGTACTAAAGGAAACTTCAGCCGCCGTTTAGTGCGCACCTGCTCCTCTCTTCCAGAGGACCCCGGAGAGTAGTTCAAAATGAATTCAACTGTTTTTAACGACACAGGCAGCGCTTTGTTTTCCAACAGAAGCAGCGAGAGCTTTCTTTCGTGCTGTAATTTGTCCTCGGTGGTGACGGACAGCGGGTTTGTGTCCACGGCGCTGGACGAGCGCAGCGTGTTCGTCACGCGCACGGTTCAGATCGCGGTGATGTGCGTGCTGGCGCTCACCGTGGTCTTCGGCATCTTCTTTTTAGGCTGTAACTTGCTCATTAAGTCCGAGGGTATGATCAACTTTCTGGTCACGGACAGAAGACCGTCAAAGGATGTCGAAGCGGTCATCGCGGGATCGTACTAGTGCGTAAAAGTTTCACGGTCAGATGTGTGAAACTATCCGTATTGCCCTCCAGAAACAGAGATGAAGAAGAAATTGGCACATGTATGATTCAATGTTTACCCTTTCCACTGGGGAAAAGTGCAGTTTATGAGAAAAGCGAAGGTGAAAGTGTACCTGGTGACTGAAATGAATATAAAATATACAAGAGGAAACATCACGACATGGACTGTTTTGCTCACTCTATGGACCACGAGTGATTAATGTTCATGTGATTAATGCTTGTGGAACAAACTGTTGTTTTCAGACTGCTGAGATTTATGTGGGTAAACACTGCGTACATTTTGAGTAATGCATTTAAAAGTTTAAATGAAGGAATAGCCTATTTTATACTGTATGTGTAACTAAAGCACTTCTTAAAGCTGGATATTTAAGTCTATTTTGTGCAATATTCAGTGACCGATGTCTTTACAGTATGTTCTTCAACTAATTTACTGTTAAATTACATTTGGAAATATTTATATGTTGTACAGCAAAACTGTGGTTTGCACTTATTGTAATTTGCATGTTTATGGGTGAATTATGGATGAATTCTGAGGTAAATTTGAAACTGATAAATGTAATGGATATCCCTGCATCACTGTGACCTCAAACTAGTTTTCGTTTTCTTGTTTTTAATTATATAAAAGGCAAGTACAAAATAACTGAATCATCATTACATTGTTCTTTGGTTTTTCACAGAAGCAGATTGCACTGAGTGTGTGTGTAAGTCATTATCAGATTAAATATGGATTAATGTTTTCTAGCCTTTGGCAAATAATCATCTCAGCAAAGGCTGTTTGCACAAAAGAACAAAATCAGATCAACAGTGGTTCAATGCAACTGCATGGAATAATTGGGTCCAAAGGTCTGAGAGCACTACTGAAAATGCTTACAATTTCTTTAATTCTTGTAACAAATTTTCTATTACAAGTTATACTATCAGCATAATAAGATGAGTAAAAAAAATTGTATAATAATAATCTTTTACATTTTTCTAAACCCCAAAACGTGCAATTTCAAGGTTAAAATGCGATTTTTAACCCTGGATTTGTATTCATTTGGATGTTTTCTGAATTTTGGTCCCTATAGATACAAACCACACCTCAGCGAACTTGCATGCTGACAAGACCCCACTGTGCTGTCAAATAGTTTCTTAACGTGAGAAAAAAAAACACACCCAAAGAATGCATGTGAAGTATCTTATAGCAACAACATGACTAAATAATTTACTTCACTTAAACTAAGATGACATTCAGTTTACTTACACGGCACACGTCTATTAACCAGTACAGATCACCCCATTACCTTAACGTTGTATGTCCTGAGCAGTGTTTGTATACCATAGGCATATTTTCACTCTACTACACACATCAGTGCGCCAGACAGCTGTGCAAAAGATAAACACCAGAACGCAAAAAGTGTCATGAAATGGGCCAGTACTTGAGTTTAACTTTTTGAGTTTTTACAGAACGCACATATCACATTAACGACACTCTGCAATTTCCAGGGGCTCTTGGGTTGACAAAACTCCTTGTGTCCTTGTCTGCGTTTGTGCACTTTAGTTTCAAGAGTGTCCACGTATTACACGGTTATATAATATATACATCACTGAGAAAAAAAAAAAACTTTTAGGACCCTTTTTCTTTTAACAAAATAGCTGGTTCGGTGTTTTCAACATCTTCTGAATGCTAGGAATGAATGTTCAGTCATAATAAAAAAATGGACTCTGCAAAATAAAACAATAAATATACAGCCTGGAATGAATAAATAAATATATATATTTGATTCTATGCCAGAGTAATTATAGTTTACTAAAACTATACTAACTATACAAAACATTTTTTGTTACTAGAAATATATAAGCTTTAACTGAAATAAAACCAAGATTAATAAAAAAAAAACTTTAAAGAAAATATTTACATTTAGATTAACCTGAAGTACTGAAATGTACTAAAAATAACACTTAATAAACTACTATAGAGACATTTAAAATAAAAGCAAATACAAACAAAAGCTTAACAAAATTACTAAAACTTTAACTAAAATTAAAATTCTAAATATTAACCAAAACTATAATAGTTTATCAATCATATTAAAATACCACTGCTCCATGGAGCTCTTCATGTGGAATCAGACCAAGGCCAACATCAGATATTTTTATCTCATTCTAGCCAGTATCTAAGCAACACACATTATCTTTGTTTTCATTCAGCTTGTCCAACTCCATATCAACACAAAGCCAAAACGAGGCAGATTCTAGGCTATTGTTGATTGAAAAAAAAAGTGCTCCCTTCTCTCTCTGTTTGGTTTGGTTTTGTGATGGTGGAGCTCATGATGCAAAGCAAGAGACGACTGAGACGATTGCATCAAAGAAGTCAGGTCTAAGGTCATCGCCAGATCAGCGGGTACAGAAAGACAGATGGAAAGCACTAAGCGAGGGAGAAAAGGCCAAACACTGAGCTGCGCCATTAACTGCCTTGATGGATTTGCACACTAAAAATCGCAAGAGCATCTGCTGGTTTAATTTGTTCCATGGATTTGTCACCTTATACAAAGCAAGTCAAATTGACAAAAATGATTTTTCAAAGTTGACAATAAAACTTACTACTAAAAAAATGTTCTACTTCAAAATCACAAGATTAATGTGTTACCTGCGGTTTCTTTGTGATTAAAACTCACTTATCTTGTAATTATAATGGGAAAAAAGCTATGTTGTGTTTAAAAATGTTTAAATAAATAAAAAACAATCCTGTACAAAATAATGTTCTTTTTAGCAGCATCATATGACCCCTTTAAGTTTTCATTACTGTTTCCCTGAATATTTTCTTTTCCCTTATATACCAACTCAAATGTGTCAACAAAGACTTGCGTGCTAACATCAGAGAATTTGCCTTCATACCTAACCGTATCAATAATAATCATCAATGATGTACATGTTTGTGATGGCATGGTTGCAATTCCATTAATTCAAGCCCAGGGCTGGAACTTTATTATACCTTTGTGAATTGGAGCTCTGTTATTAGTTTATATAGTGTATTTGCAATTTGACTTTTTTTTCTTTTGTCGCGTATCAGACAGATTTAGAGTCAATTTTGTCATACACAGTGAGCCATGGGTGTAATTTTTTTTATTCTGCAGAATGATTACATGTCTCGCTGCCCTTTCGTGAAAACTAGCCTTGGGGGTGACAAGTAAAAAGGCATCATAGCAAATGCTTTCATATCGACTGCCACTCGCACTCATGTCTGCGCTGTGCATTCTGAACCGCAGCGCCCTTAGGCCTTAACTAGGATCTTTAGAAGTGCTCACCCACAAACTGCAAAACAGACGTTTTTATTACATTATGATTTTATGTGGAGGCTTTTTTCCATTTTACAAAAAAAGGAAAAGCAAGCACATATAAGTAGTGCTAGAGTGAAATATTAAAGGACGAAAAAAAAACTTTTTTTTTTTTTTTTTTAATTGAAAATTTATTGCTTTTTGCATAAATACATTCTTCCAAAATTATTTCTGATAGCGTTATTTGACACAATATCCCACCTCTTGGGTAAGCAATGAATATTCCAGTGTTGTTTTTTCATCCCTGATTATTTCAATGGCAGGAAAACAAGTAAGCAAACCACTCAACCTCCAAATCAGGTGGTTTCAGGACGGGATATTGTTTGTGACAGTTGCACTACACGATTCAAGGCGAGTGAGACCAGGTTTACCTCAGACAGACCTTCATCTCAACAGAAACATCATTAAGAGAGACACTTTGTCACCAAGTCATGCAAGAACATGTTTTTTAAAGGCTAAAGAACAAAAACCATGAACAGCGTGCATCAAGCATAGCACACAAAAAAACTCCCTTTTACCTTAAAATACCTGAACAATCTAAAAGCAACAGGTTTTGAGGTGGATCGACTACTTCTAGAAATGGTCAAATCTCAATAAACCAGAATTAACATCCACTAAATGGAGATGGAAATATCCTCTAAAGAAAAAACAAATTATAGGAGCCTGTTGCCACAAAAAAGAACACACTCACACATGAGGCGGCAGTGCATTAATACTCCATATATACACAAGACAGACCAGTGCATTAGCGCTAGCTGAAATGAGTCGCTACAGGGCCTGCTAATCTAATGAAGAAGAAAAAAGTAATCATGGCCTGGCAGAGTCTGCATCAAATAATTAAAGTCATAAATTAAATCCACACTTCTACACTCTCTGACCTTCTCCCGGGCTCTCAACAAAGCTTTAACACGGTCACTCTCCATCAACCCCAAAACAGCTATTGTATTAATGATTTCCCCCATTAAAACGCTCAATAGAGCAGCAACTTCCAGCTTTAATAAAGCACGACTGCAAAGGGACTGTAGTCTTTGCTAAGCGGAGTTCCTAAAATGCAAATTCAATTTATTGAATAGATTTAAACAGCATCTATGTGTTGCCACACTGACAATGAATGACATCAAAAAGGCAAAAAGCAGACTTAATGCAATGCTATTATAATGGTAAAAAGCTGCTTGCACGGGATTCTGTAATAAAAGCCTTTTATAAGACAAAATAACAGAGTAACAAAGAGACCCTGACTTCACTAATGTTATTTTTTTCTGAAATGTAGGCCATTACGAAAAAGTCTTTGTGTGTGTCGTGTATTGAATTTGTCAAATTAGCATATATGAAAATATGAGAAATCCTCTAAAAAATAAAACATTGTACTTTGTTTTACTTTGTTATTCAGTGTCTGAATGACTACAAAAAAAAATTAATTTTTAAACTAGTATTCGATTCTTTGTGTTTGTTTTTGTGCTTATTTTTAAAAAAAGGTTTTATCTGTAGTTATATTAGTAACATTATTTGACAGCTCCATCTGCCATTAAAGCAATAGTTCACCCACAAATGATGGCACTTATTCAAAGCAGAGGATCCATTGGTGAGCAAGTTTCTCCAAATCTGTTCCGATGAAGAAGCAAACTTATCTACATCTTGGATGG